CCGGCGCTGGGCAGGGGGCTGCCTCCAGCCCCTGGGCAGCCAGCACGGGCCACCGCTTTTCTACAGCAAAGGCAGGGAACAAAAGGAGCAGAAGGTCACTTTGCAATAATAAAGATGAGCTAATCCCTTATTCATGAAGAGCAGAACAGTCTTCTATTTCTAACTACCCCTTTAATCACCTCTGGAGGACTGGCACTCCAGAATGAGTTAGCAGCCAGGACTTTTTTAGAGATCAGGATTTTCTAAATAGCAGCAGCTAACGTGAGAGAAAATAATACACAGCAGTGGCAGCCCTGGGCCCACAGGAACTGATGAAGACGAATGTGTCTGGCAGAGAAACTTGATAAAAGTTCAAACCTCCTGCTGCTGCTGCCCGGTGCTCTGGGAGAGGGAAAAACAAGGGGCGTTCTCATATTTGACTGAAGCCTAGACAATAAAAGTTTGCTGCTGCACACCAAGCTGTGGTTACACAAGCGTGCATCCAGCACTTGATGGGGGGAAAAAAGTTCTGCCTGCAAAAACTGCTAACATCCTGATTCAGTAAAACACCTTTGCTGCAAAGAGATGATTTTCAAAAACACACAGTGAGAGGCAAAGCAGCCCGAGCAGCCCGGGAGCAGCCCCGAGCCCCCCGGCTGGGCTGACGTAGCAGGCCCTCGGACGGAGCAGGCTGCGTACTAAAGCTAACGATGGCGCGGGAGCTTCCTGGGTCAGGACTGCCATCGGGTTCAACGTGGCACAGCCTCTGCAGCACTCTACTGCAGATAACCCACTGCGGAGGAAGTGTTTCCCCTTTCAAGTATCCTACCACCTCAAGCCTCTTTTCGCTATGCATATTTTCCCTTTAAAACAGTGATGAGGAAAAAAAAAAACCAAATAAAATATTTACCAATACGGGGAACAGCTAGAACAAGCTTTAAAAACTTTGCAGGTTTTTCTTCTGTAGTTTCTCCAAACAATTTTTGGATGTGTTGTAGGTTGCTTATACCTTGAAAATATCCATCTTGACAGGGGAGTTGTCAAGGACAGAGTCTGGGCCTGTGACGAGACTTCCTTTTGAAAGCTCATGAAGGAAAATGATGCAAAATATTTCCGAGCTTGAAAATACTCAGTGTCACAGCTCAGCAGCTCCTCCTGCCACTGTCTCTCTGTCTCTCTCTTCAGGCAGGTGTTCACCAATATCCTGTCTTGCCTAGACTCAGATGGATTTCCTCTTCCTTTCCCTTTCTTTCCTACTTTTCACGTTCTTGCATTTCCCCACTGCAGGGGGACCTGTAATGCTAGCAAAGTGAATCCACTCTGTTGACGAGTAGCGAGTCATGAGCCTAGGAACGGCTTTTCTTTCCTTGAAACCAAAGTTTTGTTGAATTGTCTCTGCAGAGCAGATCTCCTTGGACCACTGGCAGAAGGAACAACAGGTTTACATGGCCACACAAGGCAAAGCTCTCAAACAGACATATGACTATTTTATCTTGGCAATAATCTAGAGACCACCTGGCTCTAGACTCGATGCAAAGTGACACTGCCTCTTTTTGTGCCGCCTTGTTTTTTGCAAGGGACCTGTCTTTGATGCTCTTAATTGGTCAAGTTTCCACTCTCCACAAGTGTAAATCTGTGAACTGTATTTCAATTTTCCTTATTGTACTTGACAACTGCAGATGTTTGCTAATCTCTGATTAAAGAAAAGAAGTCTAATTAACATATTGTATGCATAGTTTAATGCCCACATAATAGCTGTCATTATTCAGAGGTGATGTCTTTGGCCGTTTCACATTTAAATTAAGGCCTAATGACTGCATAGCTTGCAGTTGCTAGGAGTTAACATAAAATCTGCAGACTAAATAAAGTCTTTAAGAAAAACAAGAAGATGAATCCACGTGAAATCTTTTCCAGGACACTTGTATGTGTCTCCCAAAAGGTGCCTGTACAAAAAAAAACCACCACATCCATTATATCCAGGAAAGCTGATTACAGGGCATGCCGTGGTAGCAGCAGAAATACTTGTGTTCTGGACACGGAGATACTTTTAAATAGGCTCAGCAAACCGGCATGGTACTCTTTACGAATGCTTGCTTTCCTCCTAACTTGCCTCTACCACAGGCCTGGCAGTCAGACTTGGAAAGAGCTGGCCCTATACAACTTTCTCAGACTTCCAAACAACCACCTAAGCTTTTGGGTGTTTTTTTTTTTTGTTCTTTTTGTGAGCACAACTGACGTTCTCATTAGTTTTGTATATCATCATGAGGAAAGCAAACTCCAGAAAACTTTTTTTTTGACACATCTCACAGTCTCTACTTTTTGTTTTACAACTCATCTGTCCAATAAAAATATAGAGAGAGCTTATTAATGCAGAACTAAAGTAAAACACTGAGCCTAGGTATATTCCAAATACACTGTACAAAAGACAGCAAAATCCCAAAGATCCTGTCTCATTTGATGCCTGCAAAAATAGATTGAAAATCCAAAGACTGAAATCCTGGAATATATTTAGCTCTTTCAATAAGCCTACTTAATTCTTGATGTACTTAGCATGGACCTTAACTATTCCTTTGGAATATTTAATGGCATACAGAGCATGCGTTCTGTGATTCTTCAAATGCCAATGGAAAAATAATACCTCAACTTTGTGGGGCCTGTTTAGAGAGATTTAGAGCTACACACCTTTAAGCTGTTGAATCTAATCAAGTCTGAGTGAATGATACACGATACTTGTCACCATTTGACAGCTGTTCGGGGCCAACAGAAGATGAGGGTGGTCGTCCTTTAATTTGCAGTAGCCAACTGTCCGCCGGGCAAAACGACACTTATGCTTTGAAGATAATTTCTGCTTCTTTTCTTTTCTTTTTCTTTTCCTTTCTTTTCTTTTTTCTTTTCTTTTTTTTCTTCTCAAACACAAACAGAGGGCTTCCTTCCGTAGGAATGTCAATCTACCGCCTCTAACTGCAGCACATGCCATAGGTAAAAGCAAAGGAAGAACAGAGCATTGCTGCTGCACACAAAAAAATAATGATTTTTAACACATCCTTATTTGCACCTAAACTGATTTGTTTACAAAGACCTGCTAATTTGCATTGCCTGCACCACTTACATGTCTATTTTTTGGCAGATACGACCTTAGAAGTTTTGCAGCCTTTAACATAGGAAAAGCAGATCCAGGGCGTAATCAGGAAAAAAAATCATCTATTTTCATTCTTTCACACGTTATTTCTCTGGATAATCTTACTAGTCTTGATTTTAACTAAATAAGCCTGTAAATTAATAAAACAGACAGCAGAGTGAAAACCTGAACTCCTAGACGGCTTGTTATGAGAATCACCCAGCATCTCGGCTGTGGTAATCCAGCTCCAAATGGACAGTAGCCAGCAATTCTTTGCCCCCAAAGAGTTTTGGATCCTTCAAATTGATTTGATAAGTTTCTTAGAGGTCCACAAATGGCCACACTCCAGGAGCGGGTAAATGGAGTTTCTAAGGCATAAATAATCATGCAAGGTCTGTTTTGAAGCCTTTGCTGATTAAGGATATCCTTCGCTTCCTGTCCTGCCTGCCACCTCGACCCTGGCACGTCAGTGGACGGGATATGCACATTAGGCATCGTGGCCAGCAAAAAGGAGCCAAATAGTCTTAAAATTATTACCTCGGTGAAACTCAGCCTAACAGAGCTAAGCAACAGATGCTGCAAAAGCTTTTCAAGCAGGCTGCCAGAGCCTTCTCCATCCTTGCACTTTGTGGTCCCCCCGCACAGGGCGCCAGGACGCTGTGAGCAGCTATCGCCTTACAGATGCATTGGATGCACCCAAATTTACACTCGCAGAGCTCACGGATGGCAAAAGGTTCCCAGTGCAGCTAGGTGCTGCCCTAAGCCAGAAGCAGCTGCTGTCGGGAGCTGGGCCGGGCTCCCCTGGGCGCGGCAGACGTTTCAGCATCAAAGGGACATTGCCAGCCCCTTACTGAGCATTTTATTTCACTCTAGTTTTCACTGTAAGTTCTCAGAAGCTTGAGAGAAGAAACAAGATTTCTCCACTATACAACAGACAAAGAAATAGAGGGATATTTAAGCTGTTTGAAAGTACAAACAAAGACCACGGGCTTTGAGAAAACAAGCTGTCACCAGCCTGTTTCTATCTTTGCAGCATGAGAAGTGGAGAGGGCTCTGTATGAAGTATTGGTTGTCTCCAGACAACGCCGGAGGAGGAACATCAGAGAGCAGGAGCTGCTATGCAAAAGGTGGCATTCCCTTTAATGCGCCAAAACACCCTGGCCACAGATCCCAAGACTCCTTACTGGGCACGAAGGAACAGGCAGCGCAGGACAGGGATCTTGGACTTAAAACTGACATGACCGTGGCAATGCTGCCACCGCGCTCAATAGCTGTCAAAAGGCCAACGGAGGACTTCGGACAAAAGGAACAGAGAACAGAACAGAAAGGATCAACAGATAAATCCACCATGTGTTCACATAGTGAGCGCAAGGGGCAATTCTGCTCCCGCCCTCGCTTCAAGAAGGACAAAACAAAACTGGAGAAGGTCCAGGAAAGGACACTGAGATCCCCGACTTGGGATCATATCCGTGAGAGGAATGGCAGATGCTGGAGAAGGAAAGAATAGGATGATGCCTTTGAAATCCTGTATGGTACAAGGAAGGTGAACAGGGAGCACCTTCAAATGCAAATCTGCCAGAGACAAGTGTAGAAGAAAGCCCAGGAGACGGTGCCAAATTACGCTGTGGAGTCCGTGCCACAAACATTGGGAATGTCCAAAGTGCACATCCATCGAGAAACCCTCTCTGGCTCAGAAAATCCTTGGCCACAGACCACTGGAGACTGGGCAAGCACAGCTGGAAGGTATCATTGTATTCTTATTTCTTCTTTCCTAATTATATCCTGGGCAAAATGGCCACTGACAGAGACATGACCCGAGGCGACATGAGCATTTGGGCTGACCCATCTGGCCATCTTCATTTTTAGTGTTATAGATTCATTTAAAGCTTCCTTGATCCGGGTGAGAAGCCAGAGGATGGCAGAGCAGTTAAGGTGCCTCCACCATTTGGAAAGGAGGAAGGGAGTCTCTGCTCTGGTTCTGAAGAAAATCTGGAAAATATCTAAGGACAGTTTAAGAACTCACTTCCAGCTTTGCTTTAAAAAGTGACTGCAACACCAGAGAGCCACAGCGGACCTCCGCATTGGTAGGGCTCACATGCTGGTGTAGCCCGTGATGGTGCTTCCCTGCTACCCCAGCCCCTAACCGAGACCCATACCCCGGATGCCCCGGGCACAAGAACAGAGCCAGGTTCAGCTTTCCTCCGTAACATCCCTGCAGTCAGCAAGCCAATGTGTAAGTGCTTTGTGACGTCTAACAGCAATGTGATTAACAAGTATGTTTTCTTTTCCTTTTTCTAGCAGAATTTGGGAAAAAATGCATTCGCAGTGTCTGACATCATCTCAGCCCTCCGAGCTCTCCTAGTTCATGGGGAGCTGGACGCTCCTTCTGCACGTCGAGGTCCCTCCAGCACTGAAGAGCCAGGCAAAGTTTGCTCCTTTTTGCTACACCTTGCTCACATGCTGCCTTTCACGCTTGGTCCTTATCTTTCTCTGCAAAATTCTCCACCTTCACCTTCCAACAACGATAACAAATTTTATTTCAGCATTTAATGGAATCTGCCCTCCCAAGACCTGTCCTGTCTGGAAATTCAAATGCAAAGTTGATGTTGCCTAATCAGCAGGCAACAGGCGGTGCCTCAGTTTTAAAAGCAGAGTCACGGTCCAGGCTCCAGCAGGTTTCAGTGTCTATCACCCACGTAGAAGCCGGCACAATTCGTCTGGAGAGGCAGCAAGGTTCAGGCAAAGCGTGACTGCCTCTGGACAGCTGCAAACTCTCGCAGACGGCAGCCTGGCAGCCGCAAGGGCAGGCCGCCTGGCTAACTATTATTTACCAAAGAGAACTTGAAAACAATCAGGCCTGAGCCAACTTATTTACAGAAATACACTCCATGTTATTGCTGTCAGAGGGAGGCTGAGAGGCAGGCTCAGGGACAAGAGCAGACACAGCCCCTTTCCTTCCCAGCGCATCCAAACAGCGTGTCAGGAGGCGAAAGCAACTCTTACCCTGCTGCACCAACATGCACCAGGTGAAAGGATTTGGTCTGCAGCGCTCATTTGACATAACAGCAACTGAGTCATCATAACCCAAGCGCTGCCAGGAGAGCAAGGTGTTCTGCCTTGAAAATCAACGACTACACTCGTCCCTGGCATGCAGGTAACGGCAGGGTGTCCTCACACCGTGACAATATCCTGTGCCCTTGACATTTTCCCTTCAATGTGCCTAACCAAGGCCTGGATCTGAGAGGAGCCAGGGCACCGGGAGAGCACAAGTCCCCTGGCGGGTCTCCTAGCAGAGCTCGTATGAGCAGTATCGACTGCCACAGCAGCTCTGAGCGCCGTGAAACACTCAGTGATAGCCAACAGCAATTCTGCTGTTGCCCAGAAATAGTCAAAACCTGCATCTGACCCAACAGACAGAAAAGGCAGAATTAAAACCTTTGTTTCCTTGTATTTTTTCAAACCAATGTTTTTATTAATCTTCTCCCTAACAAACCCCAGACCTTGCAAAGACAATTATAAATTAGTTGCAGTAATAATGACAAAAGGATCCCAGAGGGGAATTCAGAAATTTTTAGCAAAATTGTTAGCACAGCTTTATCACATAGAAGATACGAATCTCTATGCTAATACAGGCTGGGAGGAAGCTTGTGCTGTTTTGGTACTGAAATTCACAGTCAAGTTTTGTCGTCCAAAACTTCTGCGAGTTTTCACCAAATGCTCTTCGCATCATACTTGTCTGCCCTTCCTTCTGGAAGGGAAAACAGCTTGAAGAGCCCCTAAAGATAGAAACTGGATAGTAGTAGCGTCAACGTTTTTGAATCACAGTTTATCATCCATTTCCTCTAAAGCATCACTCCCCTTCCTTAAAAAGGGATGTAGCTAATTACTTCCAGGGGACTTCAAGGAAACTAGAGACACTCAGACCCTTGAAAACAGATTTAGCACGTGTAGTAATATTCTGAGCTATGGATGTATTTAAGCAGTTGCATTAATAACATCTTTAGAATGTGGAAAGAATATTAGAAGTAAAAATGGACTATCACGGGTGAACTGCTGTTCCTGTTTGGACCTCAAAGCAGTAAGATCACCTTCCTTCACTGTCCAAGACTGAGCAAATCCAACTGGAGAGAGAGAGAGACTTTGGAAAGTTACAGGGAACGGCAATACACACGGTGCAGAATGGGAATCAGTTGGCATTGGCAGGATGCTACAGAAGTCATTATGGCCCTGGACATTATTATGAAATATACTGCACTCTGAGCACTTTGCTCTTGAAACTTGGTCTTCATAACCATCTGTAGCTGAAGATCAAGTCAGTGGCAATAAATCAATATCTAATAATCTGTACCAGGCACGATGACTCTAGAAGCTACTAAAACACAAGTGGAGTATTTTATACCTTTTCCCACAGTCGTGACAATTCAGAAACATACAGCTTTGTTTAGAAATATCTAACATTATATGGCTGTCGGACTAACTTGAATATAAAATAAAACTTTGCAGGGTTTGGTCTTGCAAGCAACCTCAACCTCCACCAGATCCCTTTGAGAACTCTGTGCCTCTCAGTGCGCAGCCACTTCCGTGGCTGGCTAGTTCAGTTATGGGGCAGCGCTCGGTCTTACCTGGTTATTTCCTCCTTCAGAGCAGCGGGGTCAGTGGGATAAAACTTCACACGAAAACACATGGTGAATGGAGGCTGGGCTGCAGGGAAAACAGTGATGCCACAATCAAACTACAGGTTTTGCCTATTTTATCCTCCAGTATTAACCCCACTCGAGCCAGACAGTGCTGGGAAGAGGCAGACATCCTGCCCCTGCCCCGCGGGCGGCTCGGCCCCTCCGTGCCGACTGCCGGAGAGCCGCAGCAGGCGGGAGAAGAGGAGAGGGCAGTGCGTGAGCTAAGTATATTGTGGACATGAGAGAGAACAGATACCGCCTAGGCCTCCTTGAAAGTGCCCACAGCATCGTCTGCTGGACATGCAGTAAAGCCCTCGCTTGCTAAATGGACCACCGCGCTTACAAAGTCTCATTTTGCTCATTCAGATCATTTACTTAGTGGTCTCATGCAGGCGACCTGCAGGGTTTCTGCGGGTTTCCCATATGCAGAATGGAGTACTTACAGCTGTGATTATTGCGTGACCTATGGAGAATTATTTCACTTTCGACCAGATAGAATAGCTTTACTGATGATCAAAAAGGCCCATTTTCTAAATGATGTGCAGGGAATTCACCCCAGAACTGCATGAGTGGAGAAAATGGAACTGTGTATAAAATTAAGGGACCATGCACCATCTCCACAGAACATGTGCATACTTTGATACACACTAAAAGCCATACTTACCCCTCATCTGCTTCACAACTGACTTTGTAAATTCCAACCAGTGCTGAAACAAAAAAGAAGGGAATTAAAACCAACCAATATTTTCAATTAATAACATTGCCTCTTCAGGGCAAAATTAAAGAAACAAAAAACCCTGCTTGAAATAAAAGCATATCTTATGGAAGAATCTCTAAGCTGTATGAAAGTAGAAGGGCTCATAAAGCCAAGGAGAAGAGTGACTACGCGCAGGCAGCAGCTGCAACCCGCGTCCATCCATCGCAGACACACGGCGAAGGATCCCTAGGAGGACCTGCATTTTAGAGGCATTGCCCTCCGCAACAGGCCAGGCCACGGATCATCACCAGTTGCGGCAAGGATGACAGAAGACCTTCTGAAACGACTCCCCCAGCAGCAAAGTCACCCTGTAGCACTGAAAAGCTTTTGAAGACGTTCCTTTCCTTCCGTCTTTGTGACAAGGCGAGAGAGGGGGAGAAGGAGGAGGGGAAGCGCTCCTTTCTCCCCAGGGCCTGCCCCATTGTGATCCCAGGGGTGGTGGGAGGGAGCCCCAACATCCCATGTGCAACACCACCACAACGGTCCTCTCTCTGCCCGTCCCCAGGGAATGCCAGGTCCCCTCTTAGGGCCCCGTTAGGTCTGACGTGGTGCCGCAGTCGAACTCCGTGTGACACAGGGGTGAGTGATTCCTATTGCTCAGCGCTGAACAAGAACTCCTTTGTCAGCCCCAGACAGAAGCTGCTTCTGCTGGCGAAGCACCATGCAAAGCAGGGGCTTTCAGGGAGGCATTTTCCCTTGCTTGACAAGACACAATTGTCCCAAGGTCAAGTGTAGTTTTCTATTAGTGACGACAAATTGGACAAGTTACACGCCAAAGGCATTCTTCTTCAGCCTGAGCACCCTCCTGCTATCCATTAGCCTGTCTGAATACCTTTGCATAGCAGCTAGCTGAATAAAAAATCACAGCGAGGAGTTAAAAAAATTTTCGCCAAGGGGTCTAATCCCCAAGCTGAAATCATCTTGACTGCTGTCACATCCTTGCACATAGGTGTTCAAAGAGTGCATGACCTGGTCACTTCAATATGCAACTTTTAAAGCTTAAATCAAAACCGTGCAGGCCTTGTATGCAAAAAAGCATAAAGCAAACTCTCCACTTGCTAATCACCCTGGAGAATGTGCAGCTACCCCAGGGTTTTGCCCAGTTTCTTGCTGACATCCAAACAGCAGTCTTTCAGATGAGTGTTGTTCTCAATGATTTACTCTTACATGGTGCCACTGAAGTGCTGTACAGACTGGAGCGTGCAATTAGTATGATTCTGCAGGGGAACGGTGTTTGCTACGCAACAGTCTGGAACAATTGATTGCAATCGCCCAACCTAACCTCAACATGAGGGATCTCTGACAGGGATGAAGCAGAACACCAGGGAAATAACTGATAAGGAGGAAGGATTTTTTTTTCTCTTTTTCTTCACTTTTCAAACATCGCTCCTGTCCACAGCCCTGTGCTCTCTCAGTAGAGACATCCCACTTGTAGCAGTCCCTAGGACATTGCATGGCCACAGCTAACAGGTTTTCAGTAACCATCGCAGGCCCTTCTGGCACAAACCCTAGCTGTGCCTGGAGCGCGCTGCGGGCTGGCTGACCAAACTTCCCGCATCACCGGAGCGCTCTTCCTCCACTCCCCCAGCCCACCAGCGCAGGGGCAGGATACGGCCCACACCACGTGTGGCTTCCCTCAGTCCCTTCCACTCTCCGTGTTTCAAATCAGACATGTGGCAGAGCACAGGCACTTCACTTCCAAATAAGAAATGTTTAGTTGTGCACCGGAAATAACGGACTGAAGAGAGCGCTTAATTCATCACTGGCTTAAATGTAGCACTTTTAACCGAAGAAATGTAAAACCTGGGCAGCTCTTTGACAGCAAAATGCCCCACGAACGGCAGGGATAAGGCTGCATCTCATGTTAGAGGGATCTCCCTAGCATCAGCGCAAAACAACCACATCCTGTGACGTTGCTCAAAACCCAAGCGATGGCCTTTGCCTTAACTCTCACGGCCTGAATGGAATCAGCTTATTTACAGGACAGAGTAAAGCACTGATAAAAGGACTCTCCCTAGGATCATACAGGGTGCCAGCTCGGTCTCCATGGCCCCTCTCTTCCTTTCCTAGGGTGGCTTTCGCATATCTGTTGGAGGCAGTCACCACCCATCGGCTTTTGGACTTTGCATCCAGAGCGTACCAGGAGCAGTGGGCAGGATCCTAGCCCTGAATTTCTAACACTTCCACACGCAACAGCAGAGCTAAATGTTCTCTCCTTGCACTAAATGATGTAATATTTCAGATTGGACAAAATATGGACCTTGTGTTCTCCATCTGTCCACTTGCTTGCTTCAAGACAAGGTGCTCTGAGGAAAACAACAAGCCTCACCTACTCCATGTAGTAAGCGTACGGAGACATTTTCATGAACACTGTGTAGCTCTTGGTGAATGCAGATTTCAGCACAGTGATCTCTTTTCAATGACCCTGCCCATAGAGACAATGCATAATGACGCATTATGTACAGTGTTTTATTTGTACATATATTTAAAGAGGCTATTCACCAAAAAGCATGAAAACAAAGAGTCAACAAAAGTGGAGTGGCAGTTAACGATCAGTCAGTATCACTGAAAGAAAAATGCTGCTCTCCAGCATTTAAGAGTCACCACTTTAGAGTCTATTACAAATTCAGCAGCCCCCTCAAATGAGGTTATTCATCAGTGTGGACAACAAATTCAAGCAGGCAATTCTGGAAAGACTGGAGAAAGAAGACAGAAAGGGAGAGAGCGCAGTAAACACAAGTGGGAGGGCACAGGCAGCTCTGGGAGCCCGCTGGTCAGGGGATCCCGCGAAAGGCAAGAAGATTACCCAGTCCCTGACGGTCAGCAGTTTAGCAAGGTGGGACACAGGAGGAAGAGAGGCTACCACACTAAGAGCAAGACAAGCCACGCGAGCGCCAGTGCGTGGCT